TGTGGAAGGGATAACCATATATCTTGTGCTTTTGCCTTGCCCTAATTACCATAGTTAATGATTACCATAGGCAAGAGCTTACTCTAGTGTTTTCTAATTGATCTAATTTTATGTTCCTGTCTTCTCCAGTATCCTCCTGAAAATGTTATTTTTTAACTCATTTTTTCCTGTGATTAAATACAAATGTTCTTTTTTTTTTCAATGTAGTATAAACATGGCTCATTGCCATATGGTAATGGCTCTTAAATATATCTCTATAATGTGGTGTTTGAAAGAATATACATTAACTGTGGAGGATAAAACATTTTTCAATGGAAACTTTATTTAACTTAAAATGCTTTGAAGTATATCAGCTTCTATTTTAAAACCATACACACTTGTACAAACCAATGTAAATAGAATTTATGTAGGCAAGTGTGGGGGGGTACTCAGTAAAACTCCTTTTGTGAGAAATTCTCTTGAGTTTTCATTAGAGCTGGAAGGGACCTCAGGTAAATTTTCCTCTCAAGAAGCCAAGGTTGTATGGGTAGTATGTAAGTAGCAGAACCAGAACTTGAATCCAGGTCTTCTGGTTATTAAATCCAGAGCTCTTTCCATGACATGGTGGTTTTTTCATAGGAAATGTGACTTAATGAAGAACTTATAGATGAAGTAATTTATTATGTAGATGATTGTATATTTTTGATGCATGTGGTAGATTTGAATTTCTTTTTTCTGCAACATACAAACATTTGATTTTGTAACTGGAGGAAAGTAAATCATGTGGTAGAGCTGTTTCATAGGGGAGAGATTAAAAAAAATCTGGTTTCATTATTTAAACTTAGATGTTACAGCATGTTTGTATTTTAATATGCTTAAGATAAGTCCAAAATAAGGAGTTGCTTTCTAATTATCCATTAAATATATGTTTCCACAGGACTTGCCTTGCTCCACTTATCTTATTAACAGCATAAAAGGTACATGTGTATGAGAATTGTGAGATACTCTTACCTTACATTTTCAAGCCTTTATATAGTTATATTCACTCCCTAATCAATCTGAAACTGCCATTTAGATAGGTTGCTATCAAGTAGAAGTAGGCTACCTCTACCATATCACCCTAGGGTGATTGGGACCCAGTCGTGACACCTAGTACAGTGAGGTCCCAGTTACTGTGAACCATGAATCACTTGAGGTGGAGCTGTATTTAAATCTACTGTGTTTGAAGTCATAATTTTGTAAAATACAGTCATTGTTTCCAGTTCAGTGGAAATATGCTATGTTGCATTATTTGGACAAATGAGGACCTAACTGTAACGTGAGGATCAATGCAACAGAACGTCAGAAGGTGCAGAGACAAATGAGACTCAGGAAGACAAATACTAGAGAGCAGAGAGAGGCAGAGCTCTTATTTACATTCTGGGAGGGTAGTCAGAAACCAGGAAATCTCCCACTGAGAGTTATAATAGTAATCTAAGTTTCTTCAGGGCAGGCACTTGGGTCGTGGTGGTTATTTTTTGATCTTTGTATCCTATCTACACAGAATGGTACTTTGCACATAGTAGGCATTTCATAAATATTCTTTGAATTGAATGAATGGCTAGATGACCTGGTAAACAGTCCAGGAATTGGGGAAATAGGAAAGGTCAGAGGAAGTTGAACATGTACATATAGCACAGGAGAGGACATGCAAGGCAAGACAAAGGCATTTTGTTGGCCAAACTTATTATTGGTCATTAAAGTACCCAGGAGGCTATCGGTCGTTTTCTGCCAGAGAACATTTTTGTCCTGTTTTGGTTGTTTGAGTTCATAGGATTATAGATTTAGAACTGAAAAGAACATGAGGAGCCTTCAGGTTTATCTCCACCACCATTTTACAGATGAGGAAACGAGCACAGATCAATTTACACAATTTGCCTAGGGTCACACAGCTATTAAGTGCCTGAGGCAGGATTCAAATTCAGATCTCTGTGACTCAGAAGTCCAGTGTTCTGTCTGCTGTGTCATTTAGCTGGCCATAGGGAAGACTTTAGTTTACATTTCTAACACAAAGAACTTCTGCACCAAGAGGCATTTCCTTAAAAGTGTTTTCCCCTTTGTAAAAGCCTTCCTAACCTCTCTCCAAACTCGGGGATTTCTTTATAGATTCTTTCCCTTTATCATTCTCATGAGTATTACCATTATTTTGAGAACTCTTTCTTGTATACTTTTCACCTTCTTTAAATGACGCTTGAATATATTCTTACTAAAATACAATAATAAAATTACATACTCAACATCTTCCTTCTAAATACTGACTTGAGATAAAGGCTTGAATTACATGCTGTTCCAATTAAAAGAAGTATCTCCTATGCAGAACAGAACGTTTTGAACATACATTTTAAACTGCACCTTCCTAGACAATTCTCTTCATCCTCTGCCAGTCATATGCTGATAATGAAATAAAATAACATTATTTTTGTCAAACGATTACAAAATTCAGTTACATATATAATTAGAAGCACGAATGCATGGTTCTCATATCTGTTGATCCAGCTTTTAGTCACTGGCCCATTGCTTGCTTTCTTTCCATTGTAACATTTATCGAAAGAAGGGTCTGTGTGTCCTGCCTTTATTTCCTCTTCACCATCTGCCTGTTTATCTGCTCTGCTGAAAACTGTTCTTGAATCCAATTCAACAAGTAATGATTTGGAACCTACTGCATGTGGGATAAAGGTAGGAGATAACTATCCTTACCTTGGCCATAGGTGATTTAGATATGGTTTCTACCTTATAAGTTTTAAATCTGGGAGGGGAGAGGTACATGGATAACTGGTGTAAAGGACAATTTGGTGTATCGCAGGAGATCTGCAAAGAACTATTGGGGGAGGGATTCAGACTGGAGAGGTCCCACATAGTTGTGGGGATCAGGAGGGACTTACGAGGGGAAAGTGGCATTTTTGAGTTGGGCCTTGAAAGATAAGCAGGGTTAGTCATTCCAGAGATTGTTTCTCATTTTTCATTTTCCTTGATTTCTTTGTAGCGTGGCTCTGGTGACCACCCCTCACCTTCCTGAAACTCCTCCCGTAGCATCTGTAAACTCTACACCAACCTAGTTCTCCTTACACTGACTGTTCCTTTTCTTTTTCCAAAATTTGGTAATGGAACAAAGTGTATGACCCCAAGCTTTTTTCCTTGACCCTTTCTGCTTTTCTATAGTACCCTCTTCCACTCCTGCCTGTAAGTAGAAAGAAACAGACCCTTCTTCTTCCAGGACCTCAATATCTGTTGTGAGAGTGGACATAACTTGAGTCTGGGATTGGAGGTAGGGTGAACAACTCCTCCAGGGGTAAGGGCTGGAAGGGTTCTGCTGACCAGGAAGGGAACAAACTATGGAAAGCCTTCAAGAGATGGATTAATGCTTTAATCCTGTGCGAAACTGATTGACTAGAGGGAGATTATGTGCCTGTAGCTTTGCTAATCTGTGTGTAGGCTGTACCCCAAGATTCCCATGTGTTCTGTAACAAAAATAGTTTTTACACTTGAACTACTAGGCTTGTGTTGTACTGCAGTGTATACTGGTAGGGGTGGAGCACTGTTGTAAAAGTGAGAAGAGGGGATTCGGTGGCAAGGTCTTTAGAGGAGAACTCACCCCCTTATTAATCCCCCCCAGATGGTTGCGTTGGAAAATTACCCAACTGAATTGACTGGCATGTGGCTAGTAGAGGCTTCTGTTCAAGAGCTGCCCTGGGGCAGGCACCTGTTTCATCACTACTTCTAAATTACATATTAGACTTTGATTTTAGTGTTATTTTCCACAAACCCTCTTTAAGCATGAATCTTTTCCCCTCTCCCCAGTTCCTTTAATACCAAGTTTTACAAAAAAAATCACAGTGAAATAAAATATGAACTCTCAGGAAAGTTGCAAAATTTAGCTTAAATAGACTTGGTCGTTTTCTTGGTTAAAAAAAGTCTTATTTAAGTAGACTGTATGTATTTGTATTAACAAACATTTAACAAATGTTTCTTGTGTTTTAGGCTATTCAACAATAGTTATGAACTCCCGACTACGTGCTTTGGGTGGGAGAATAAATAATATACGCGTTTCAGAACTGCCAAAAGAGAAGACACGATCAGAAATCATCTGTAATCTCCATTTCTTGGATGGCTTGGTACAGACCTTCAAAGTTAATGTAAGTTCTAAAAGTATACTTTTAAAATTGTTAATAATCCTCCAGTGCTCTATTTAACTGTGGATGGAATTGTGTGCTTGACTACGCTACAGTTTATGTTAATATAAAAACTTTAAAAAGAAAAATCATCGTTTTAACATTTAACTGATGAAATTAGCTCTTTTTTTAATGAGTAGCTATAATTTGCTCCTTCTAGTAAAACAAAAAAAAATTTTTTTTTTTTTTTTGGTGAGGCAATTGGGGTTAAGTGACTTGCCCAGGGTCACACAGCTAGTATCACATGTATGAGGTCAAATTTGAACTCAGGTCCTCCTGACTTCAAGGCCAGAGCTCTATTCACTGCACCACCTAGCTGCCCCTAAAACAAAGTTTTTGTTACATGCTCATTGACTCTTTGAGTTCGATCACCAAAGATCAAGATGTTGGCAATCACAATGTTGCCTGGTTGTCATTGAGGATAGTAGGTTATAGCAAGAGCAAATTATGATAATAATAATAAATAGCTAGCATTTACATAGTGTTTGTAGATTTAAAAAATACTCTACATATATTATTTTATTCAACCTTCACAATAATCCTGTGAGTTAGGTGCTGTAATTTCCCCACTTTACAGATGGGGAAACTGAGGCTGAGAACTGAAGTGATTTGCCTAAGCACACACAGTTAGTGTCTGAGGCATAATTTGAACTCAGGTCTTTGTGACTTAACAAGTTCAACCACCCTCTCCACTGAACCATTGTCCAGATTCCAGACTTGGTGGTGTCCTGGTGTTATCAAATTTATCCCTATGTAGGCCCATTAGTTTCACTTTAGTTTCACATGGATTGTAAACTTAATTCTGCTTTCTCACAAATATATGCTGGTAGTCACAAAGTCTTTGTGGGCAGAAGAATGTGGTTGATTCAGGTAACTTATCCCTATTTCTGGGAGAATAACTCAAACTATGCTGATGGTGGGTCATTAGTGCCATTATTACACTTGGAAGGACAACATTATTATTCATTAATTATGACATGGTATCAATATTCATTCCTGAGCCATAAACTCAGCTCATGCCATCTAAGCCAATGGCACTTACCACACCCTGGCTCATTTAGCAAGGTCCATGCTTGCCACACCTGATCCTGCTTTGGCTGTTGGAAAGATGCCATTCTTTGCACTAGCCAAAATATGTAAATCGACAAGACAGTAATTAATGGGAAAAACAGAGGAGGAGAGGCCAAAAGAATGGCGGGGGTGGGGGACAGGGAACGGATGGATGGACGGACAGAGAATGATATAAAAATGAAGACATGGAATGAGAACTGTGGTGTTTTACGTCGTCTTGACCTTTTCCATCAGGTTGTCAGTCAGACTCTTGCTGAAGACATACTCTAGTTAATCCATTACTCAATCCTGCCAATCTTTTCTCCTTCATATTTTTCATACCTCTCCATAGACCTAGTCTAAATCTTAACCCACTCATTCCTTGACTGTTATTACTATCATTCTTGGAACACATACCCCTACCCCAGAAATCTGAGGGCCAGGTCACAGTTTTGATTCCCTATCCCTTTGGCTCAAATGCCTACTTGAAATTCCTGGAGGCACCACCCCAGGTGGTGGGTGATGATTGTTCTCTTGTGGAATTATCACATACCACTACCCTTGATGGGGATATACTTAATCAAGAGCTAATCCTCCATTTTAGAATGACGCATACGATTGGCATTAATGATGCCCAGCTTTTCCTAGACCAACACCTTTATTTGGGGCTACTCCAGGCATCTTTGGCCATTCAATGGCTATTGGATGGTGACTGTTGGTCAGACTGTGGGATGTGAGCTCCAAGTATTCTGAGTCATTTTTAGTATTTATGACTGCTGGATGACCTCTTCTCACAGCACCTAGTGGCCTGGTGCTCTCCTAGCAGTATCTCTTTAGTGTTCTGAAGCCTTTTTTTTTTTTTAAGTTCACAATAACCTTTTGTTAGCTCTTATTTTTATGTCGCCTATACATTCCGATGTAAGCACCTCCCCACCCTAGATAGAGTCATCCTTTAAAACAAAGAATAAAAAAAGCAAAAAAAAAAAAAAAGAAGAAGAAGAAGATTCAGCAAAACTAAGCCAAAACACAAAAAAGTCTATAGTGTTCCACACCCACAGTGCCCCACCTCTTCAAAGAAGGGAGAAAAGTACCTTCTCAGATCTCTTTTTTTTTTGGACCAGTCTTGATCATTATAATTTTGCAGCATTCAGTTTCAGCTCTTCTGTTATTGTTTCTGTATACGTTGTTAAAGTTAGTTTCCTGGTTCTGTTTACTTGACTTTGCATGCATTTGTTTATCTTCCCTTCTTCTCTGTGTTCTTTTTAGTCATTGCTTCTTACCCATTACATTCACGTTACCACAGTTTATTTAGCCATTCTTCAATCAGTGGACTTTACTTTGCTTATAGGTCTAAAAAAGTACCATTATAAATATTTAATGTTTATGGAACCTTTCTGACCAGCATTGACCTCTGTAGCAGTAGAATCTCTGGGTCAAATGGACATTTCAGTCATTGTCTTTGCATTATTCTAAATTGCTTTCTAGAACGGTTGGATCAATTCATGGTTCTTGTTGTTTAGTCATGTCTGACTCTTCATGACCCCATTTGGGGTTTTCTTGGCAGAGGTACTGGAGTGCTTTGCCATTTTCTTCTCCAGCTCATTTTACAGATGAGAAACTCGGGCAAATAGGGTTAAGTGACTTTCCCAGTGTCACATAGCTCGTAAGTGTTTGAGGCGAGATTTGAACTCAGAAAGATGAGGCTTCCTGACTCCAGGCCTGACCCGGTATTATGCCACTGTCTCCAATTCATAGCTCTACCCACTATGTATTAGTGTGCCCATCTTTCCACAACTCCACCAATATTGATTTTTCTCATCCTTTATTTTTTTGCTGGGTGTGAAATCTCAGCTCTTTTGATTTGTGTTTTCTTATTAATAATATTTAGGAGCATTCTTTCATATAGTTATTAATTTTTTTGTAATTCTTCCTTTGAGGATTATTTGCACATGTCCTTTGACTGTTTATTGGGGAATAACTTTTGGTTTTATGTATTTTAATGAATTGGCTTTATACCTTGGATATAAGACTCTTAATTAAAGATATTTTAAACAAAGGTTTTTTGTTTTCAGTTGATTACTTCTCTTCCCTAATTGCGTTAATATTTTCTTTGCAAAAGTTTTGAGGAAATGAAATTAACCATTTTATCTTTTGTAATTGCCTCTATTTTCTTTCTGGTCAAGAATTTGCCATTTAGCAATAGTTGTGAAATGTACCTGATCTGGTACTCTTCTAAATTTTTTGTGCTTTGTCTTGTAATATTCAGGTTGTGTATATATTGAATTTAATTTCTTCCAGACTTCTTTTCCCAGCAATTCTTGTCGTAGGTAATTTATGTTTATTTATGTTAATTAATAATTAATTAAGCTGAATGATTTATTAATTTAGGTTTCCTAGGTGATTTACGTTTGAGGGATTATTGAACTCTGGGTTATTGAGCTCAATTATATCACATTCTTCACTGTCTATTCCATTGTTCTACTTTTTCCATTTTTTAACCAATACCAAATGGTTTTGGTAATGATTGCTTTATAATATAATTTTAGGTCTCAAGATCTTCCCCTTTCATGCCTATTTTTCTAGGTTATTGTTTCCCTTGATTTTCTAGGGGTTTTTTTGCCCTCCAAGTAAATTGTGTTATTTTTTTTTTGTCTAGCTTTGTAAAGTATCCTCTTAATGACTTGGTAACAAACAAGTAAATTAATTTAGAGGTAGTATTGTCATTTTTGTTATTGGCATGGCCCAACCACAAGCACTGAATAACCCTCCAGTTTACTTAAGTTGTTTCTTTCTTTGCAATTGGATTTATATAGGCATTGAATGTTTTTTGATAGGCTGATTCTCAGGTATTTTATGCATTTTGTGATTATTTTGAATAATACTTCCCTTTTGATTATTTCCTTTTGGACTTTGTAGTTGCTATATAGAAATGCTGTTGCTTTTTATGGGTTTATTTTGTAGCCAGAAACTTTACTGAAACTGTGATTCCCTAGTATATTCTAAGTAAATCATCCTTTCATCAAGAAACAAGAATAGTTTTGTCTCCTCTTTGCCTGTCTTCACACTTTTAATTTCTTTCTCTTCCTCTTGCTTTTTTTATGGCAAAATATTTCTGTCATTTTGAGAAACTATGTCAAATAGCAGTGGGAAAAGGAGACATTCTTATTCTCCTATATTTATTGCAAACATTTCTTTTCTTTCTCCATTGTTTTTGTTACTGGCTTTTAGTTTTAGATGCTTTTTATCATATTAAAAAAAAAATCCTTCTATGCCTGTAGGTGGCTTAATGGAAAGACCGTTGAACTTGGAGTAAGGAAGACCTAATTTTCAAATCCTGTTTTAGATACTTCGTAGTGGTGTCTATTCCTTGGCAGGTCAGTTAACATCTATGTTTTAGTTTCTTCATTTGTGAAATGGAGATGGGTGCAGCTCGGTGGCACAATGGATGAAATGTAGGTCCTAGAGTCAAGAAGACTCATCTTCTTGAGTTCAAATCTGGCCTCAGACACTTACCAGCTCTGTGACCCTGGGCAAGTTACTTAACCCTATTTGCCTTAGATTCCTTATTTATAAAATGAGTTGGAGAAGGAAATGGCAAACACTCCACTATCTTTGCTAAGGAAACCCCAAATTCCGTCACGAAGAGTAGGGTACAACTGAAAACGACTGAACAACAACAATAATGGAGATGATAATAGCACCGACCTCACAAAGTTCTTGTATCAAAGGAGATGATGTATGTGAAGTGCTTTGCTAAGCTTAAAGCACTATATAAATGCTAACTGTTGTCAATATAATAACATAAATATTATAAATTGTTATAAATGACACATTTTATCAAAGCCTTTTTTATATCTTTTGTCATAATCACATGGTTTTGTATGTTGTTATTTTTAGTATGGTTATGTTGTTTT